ATAGAAATACAATTTTAGTTTTCCAAATTAAAGTATCACTGTTTAGCACTGAGAACAGAAGATCTCAAGAGGGCTCCAGTTAAAAAAAGAGATGTTTTTAGTATAAAAGTCCTAACCAGGCCTCGTGGCACATGTTATGATCCCAGCTACTCTGTAGACTCCAACAAGAGAAGTCCAAGTTCAAGGTCAGCCTGGGAAAATTAGGTGAACCCCATCTCAAAATAAAAAAAAAAGGGATGGGGATGTACTCAGTGATACAGCACCCCTGGATTCAAATCCTGAGATCCCCTCCCCCCACAAAAAATACCAAAAAAATAACAGTTGTGTTGAGAATATAAAGGTTTTCTTTAATTTAAATAAATAAGCTCCAGAAATAATCAATCTTTGCCCAGTTTTAATCATTTCATAAGAAGAGTATGGCATATCACTGGCTACCAAGAAAGAGGCTGGCATGTCTACTGGCTATCTTTGTAAGTCTTAAAATTTTTTATAAACATGCTCTGTATACGAAATAAATATTGTTCTATTTAAAAATGAACTGCAATTAATGGTGTCATTTTAAATTCTTAATATTATATATGCCATCTGACTCTGGACTCATGCAACCTTTAAAAAAAAAAATACTTTATCATAAAATCCACTCCAAGAAGAGAAATGGGGAGCAACAACACAAACAGATCTCAAACATTCTCAAAGAGGTTATGAAAACAGGACATTATCCATGATTTTCCAGTTACTGGCATTTGAGCAACACAATATGAATATTTTAAAATGAACAGAATAATTTTAATTTATAATTTTTCCATCCAAATGGTTCCATGTTATGCCTCCTGTGGAGACAGAGATTCTGGAGCAGTGCCTTGCTGCTGGAGAGGAATACAGAGGGAAAGTCACCGTGAACAGCATGGAAACAGCAGCCATGCAGAAAACCAGTCAGCCAAGGGAATGGCAGGGGTGGGACCCACGGCCCCCTGGTGGGCTGAGACTTCAAATCAGATCACCTAAGGGGAAAGAGCTGTAGTAGGAAATCAGCAACCACAGGAACAACAGTCTTTACCGCTCTCATCAAGGCTGCTAAAGTACCCCATGTAACAAGGACCTGGTGGAAAACAAAGAACCGAGAGCCTGTGCAAGTGGGAAGCCCTGGACTGGAGAACCCTGCTAATTCAATCCAAAATGTGTGCCAGTAGGTCCTGCTGCTAATCAACTGGAGGAAGCCCAGGTTTCAAGCATCAGTTCTAATGAGATTCGATTCTTCCCATCTTGGGACACAGAAGGCATTTCATACTAAGGTAAAGCTAAGTGTGGAATGCCCAGGCCCGACATCCTTTTTTCTTGGGAAGTCCCGTGATTACTCATCTGGCAAGCAGTTCCTGTCAGGCCAGGCTTGCATATGATATCACTGGGGAACCTGCTGGCTGCAGCAATCAGTAATGGACACACACTGGGACACACTCATGCTTAAATCTGCACACTTAATTGGCGATACTTAAGGACAGAAGCGCTCGCCTCAACAGCTTCGTTCCTGAAGGACTTCAGTTAGCAGCTATATTCCTTTGCACATTCATTTCTTTGTACGTCTATCAAAAATTTATCAGGCCCTTACCTACTATGTGCCCTGCAGCTCTTCCAGCTCATGCCAAACGTAGGTGTGCCACTGAACTTCTGCTATCTAAGGTTGGCTGTCATCCAGGAGCTGGAAAGGGGACAGTCATACAGGGGACCTTGTGTGCAGCCCTACTGGTGGTGGGGCTGGAAGGGGGTGGCCTTGGAGAAGGACTCAGATGTGAGCCAGCTGGGCTGCCCTCAAGTGGACCTGATGTCAGTCCCAAGGAGAGGGCCCCACCCTGCACTAACTTGGCCTTTGATTAATCCGTGTCCAAAAAAAAAAAAAAAAAAACGAACACATGAAATTGAAAAAGAAATACAAGAAAAACTAAGAGAAGCAAAGTGAAAGTCCAACTAAAGACATAAATACATGCAGCCAAAGAAGTGCCGGTGGGCAAGTGGGAGACAGAAATTAGCTTTCCATTCAAAGAAGATATATCACTTTCTGAAAATTGTTGATCTCTCCAGTTTGGTTCATTTTCCCCAAACCGTCCAGTCTACCTGACTTTTCTAATGTCCATGAGGTTCATCAGATCATCCATCATTTTTAATCCCATCCACGAGGCGTTAATTCTGGTAAGAAGCAAATACGAGGAAGGTAAGAAATGCACGGTGCAGGAGGAACCCTTTGCAAAGTTGAGTTACCAGGCTCTACTCTCCTCTCACACAGGCAACTGCAGATCAGCCAGCAGTGCAGACAAGGATACTTTTCCCTGAATAGAGAGCAACCTCAACAGCTAGCTAGATTCCAAACTATGCTCCATAGTAATTTGATATGGCAGAAAATGGAAAAAACAGAAAACATAAAAGGTTAAAATAATAAAAGATAATATTTGATAAAATTGTCTCACAATAACAAAAAAAAAAATCAAACTATGCCAAAACTCAATTTTAAAAGCTTATGACTGACTGCAACTTTTCCTATGTATGCGCTTCACTGTAATAAATTAAAATACAGGTAAAGACTGGTTTCAACTGTTAGAAACAGGATGCTTCTCTGGCAGCTCTTGCTTTATGGCTGGGGAAAGCTTCCACCATAAATTGTTTAATTATTCCACAACAAGTTTCTGAAAGTAAGGGTTGCAAAAATATAAAAGCAGCAAGCCATGAGAGCGCGGCAGTTAAAGGACACTAGATGGCCAGAGGACCTGCGTTAATCAAACATCCTCAGAAACCTTCTTCCTTTCTCCAGCTCACTCTTGCCCTCTGCCTCCGACTCTTGTTCTCCATTCCCACCTTTAGCTCATCCATTCCTCCTCTCAATCCCATCCACGATTCCTTCCCAGTTCCTCCAGTCTTCATTCCCCCAATAAGGAATACAAGTCAGACTTTATGGGCTTTTTCTTTTTAAAAATTTACAGATTCCAGAAACATGACCCTCTATTTGAAAGGTCTGAAATTTTCTTCAAAAGAAACTTCTATGTTACACACACACACACACACACACACACACACACACTCAGGTGCCTCTTCAGCCTACTTATTTAATACCAAGTTAGATAATATAATCCTTTTTGTCCCTTTTAATAATACTAGTGGACACTCAAAATTTCCATGCTGTTCTGTAGGTAAAAAAGGACTTAGATAACCTTCTTGGGCCCAGTTGTAAATCTTAAGCAACATCCCCTTGGCCCATGCCCTTGTAAAATGAGGGACACAGGCAAGTGCAGGGAAAATGGGCACAAAACTGTGCAGCTCCACCTGGCCCCACCTCCAGCCCAACTCCTGATACAGCCCTTCTGTAAACATGGGACCCAGCCCAAGGTGGGGCTGCTTACTCGCCACACAGCTCTAATTCTCCCTTGAATGTGCATCAGCCTTTCTAAATAAACCTCCATCTATGCCTTAAAAAATTATTAATGACATCATCATAGAACCAAACTATGCTGTTATATAATTGATAAATCTGACAGTAACCTATCTCAAGGCCCCCATACAAGATAATTGTTAACTAGCAAACT